CAGAAAACATCTCTCAGCAGCTCACAGAGGAGCACTTTGAAAACCCCTAACAGGTAGAAACGAAAGATTGTTTGGATGTGTTTGGGAATATGCTCAATAACCCACATCTAGTTAGAAGGAAGATCAGAAAAATGTGACAAGAGAAATCCAAATAAGGTGGCTGTTACCATTTTACATTGGTCATACTCCTTGTACTCTTAGATTACACAGGAGTGTGCAGGTACATGCTTCAAGTGTTGTCCGAATTATTTGGGTCACTGTTCTGTGAAGGACAGCAGATCTCCCTCTGTGTTTCAGATAGAATTATTTTGGCAGTTGGGGATCCAGGTGCCAGATTTATTCAAGTGGAGTAAATACAGCCAGGTTTCAGCGATGACCCAGCATATAAGGAAGCATTTAGCAGCGCAAACTGGAAGTTTAGCATGGGAATGGCAGGAGAGGTCTGTGCCAGTTTCTTATTTTCCATCTCAGTAGAAACAAGTTGGCTGACACAGCTGTATTTATAAAATCCCTTTCGATGTAGAGAACAGTTACGGGCGTGGAATGCTCGTTGGAAGATCTTGTTTATGTGTGCTGCTCATGTGCACGCAGGAAGTGTCTGAAAAGCTTGATAATTCCAGGTAGAGCTCTGGCAGCCCTGAGAAATTCATATGCATGAGAGCTCTTGTCAAAAAAAAAGCCTGTAGTAAGTTTCTGAAAGTCAGCAAAAGGGGGAATTTACTAGAAATCTGCATTTAAGTGCATCTTCCCCAAGAGTGATGCTGCTGCTTTATGGGATGCTTTATTTTGACTGATTGGGTACAAGGGAGTAAAAGTAGTGTTAAAATCAGAAGTAGTATTAATTACTGAAGTCCACTTTCAGGATGTGTATAAGAAATTCAGACTGTCTTGCTGCCATGTACCTCTAATTGACATAGTGTAGAGATCATTTAGTGGAAAACCCTGAAGTGCTTAAAGTACTGTATTTTCCACAGGTGGTAAGTTGGGGTGGGGGGCAGAATCTGTTCCAGCGTTGTTGCTGCCCAGTGACAGAACTGGCAGCCTTCAGGATCTTTAGTGCAAGAACAGAGACATCCTGATGACCCCTGTAAGAAGTGTTTGCCCAAGGCACACAGGCTGTGTGTGTGTAAGCTTTGCAGAGCTGGTTGGTACTCAGACTGTGGATTAACCACATCCCTCTGTTCTTCAGTCTTCTGTTTGTAGTGTTGCACTAGAAGACCTCATCCAGCATGTTTTTTGCTCTGCATGCTGCTGTTTAAAAGTGGTCCTGCTGTCTTCATGAATGTGTTCTCCAGGTTCCCCAATGCGTTAAATGAAATGCTTTAATTGATTTCAGTTTGTAATGCTTGTGTTTGGCTTTATCAGTTACCCTCTCCAGCTACAACTGTTATTTACTTCAGAATTACCTTTGAGTTTTGCAGTACAAAGCAATGGCAACAACAGAAACCAATTTGAAAATAGTTGTTGCAGACCCCGTTTCTCTGAGACATGAAATGCAGTGACTAATGTTTTTCTCACAGACATCTCACAGCTACCTCAGTACTTCCCCCCACCCAATCCTACAACATTTGCTGCTCATCTTCTGAAATCTGGCACTTGTTTCTAAGCCTGAGAAGAGCATCCAAAAGTCAAGTGGGATACTTGGGAACCCTCTTAGGAACCAGCTGGCCTGCTGGTCCCCATAATGATTTCTGTATTCCTTTGTTACATGTTCGTGTCGTGTCATGGACTGGAGTTGTCAGTACTGTGAACTGTCTTGCTAAGTGAGCAGACACTGTAGATTCCAGCAATCTATAGCAAGCTCCTCTTTCACACTTGGATCAAGTACACAAGGTTTGAATGGCATAACCAAACATGCCACATCTTTGAGACCATCTTGTGTTCTGTCTCTGGTAAGTCTGTTCTGTCTTCAGTAAGTCTGTAATATCCCTTCTCCAGCTCTTTGGCAGTGGACTTGGCCATTGCTCCCGTTCTTTTCTTCTTTGACAGCTTGTAGCTTTCCAGTTTCATCCTCAACTACAATTTCAGCTGTTCAGCACTGACAAGTCATTGTCTATCTCTTGAGCTCTAGGCCAAACTAAGGATCTTTGCTGCTTTCAGTGATGTGTGGGTATGTAGCCTGCAGCTTTGGCCCCCACCAGACTTGAGGAAGAAGCTGTGAAAGCCTTAGGGTTTTAATCTAAACACACACATACATATTAGAGTAATATCTTCATTAATACATTATTATGTGATATCCTTAAGTAAATGGAGAGAATGCTCAGTCAGTGACAGTAGAAATAGCTGGGTGTAGCTGTCTCTGTAAGAAAGAGGAACAATGCCATGTCTATTGGCAAAACTCAAACCTGAATTACACCATCTCCTTTTTATACCAAGTCTTTCCAACAGTGAGTTGTCATGCATACATTTCATTATGTTGTAGGTCTGTTAAGCATAGTTACTCCAATAAAGGTGATACCTGAGTTGGACTCAGTGTAAAAATGTGATGGATTTACTATACTAATAGTTTGCAGTAAGTGAAGGCCTCTTAGATAAATGAATGCATTTCTGAGCATGGTAGTGTTAAGAAGGCTGCTGTGGCCAGACAACAAAGCATCACTGAAAGCCGGGGAAGACTTAGTGAGTACCTTCTGAAGAAATGACTGCTGAAGGAAAGAGCAGAGGTGCAGGAGGCAGGGAGCATGGAGCTGAAATCTGTTGGAAGGAAAGCAGAACCTCACTTAAATGCCTCAACATCTGGCAGTATGGTGGAAACCATTACTAAGTTGTCATATCTTTGCATTCACCTGAGCTCATGAAGAGAAAGAAGCTGGGTTATGATTATGCATTGCAAACAATGATGCAGATCACATCCTCCTGCTTGCTGCAAGGATGGTATGCTGTTCTTTTTCCAGGTGGAAAAGATTCCAGAGAACCAAATATGACAGTGTCATGAATCTTAACTGCTTATTTCAGTCTCCTTTTATAGGCAGATGGACCCTTGGAGGAAAAAAAAATAGCTGTAAGTTGGCAGCAGCATGCTTGACTGCGTGAAGCAGCAAGCTTGACTGTGTGGGTTTGTGAATATGCGTAATCCTGTCTCCAAGCTCAGTTGCAAAGCTGGGGGACAGATGCCAGCAGTGTTACATCCTAGAAAGGGAAAAAAAGGAACCCAAAAAACTGTGTGGGACGCTGTGTATTTTTTTTTTCCCCTTGAGCTGCATGATGTAGAAATGAGGTCTGTAGAGCCCAGGGCAGGGCTCACCTTCGAAGTGAACAGAGCAACAGAGCCAGATGTTTGCCAGATGTTTGAAAATGGCTCTTGCAGTCACTTTCCCGCTTTGCAAATAACCAGAGGTCTGAAATGGCTACATTGAAGTGGGTTTTCTTCCAAGCATGACAAACCCAGTGAGAGTTTTACAGGCGTGCTGGTGTGCAAGAGCTGCTTGTGAGGCAGCTTTGGGCTATAAAAGAAAGTTATTTAATTATATAGGGAGAAGTCTTTTGGGAAAGAAGATAAAAGGCTTGGGGAGGACCTGAAGAAAAGAAATGCAGTAGTAGCCAGTTGGCTGAGAGAGAATTGACACCGTATTTATGATAAACAGTGTATCATTCAAAACTGAAAATGTCCTTAAGAAGTTCAATGTGTCTGCACCCTTGCACTTCAAGAACTGAACATATTTTCCATCAAGTAGGCTCTTACAGGTAGAAAAATGGGCTTAATTTTGAATGGAGCTTAAACACTTCAAAGATTTAAAAGCTTTGGAGGCAGTTTGCTTGAAAACTGTTGAAAAACACCTTGAAGCATATAGATGAGCAGGGGCAGATCTACCCAGGGCAGTAGAACCGAGATACCAGAGAGGGACTGCAAACAGGGAGACAGAAAGTTGTTGGCCTTTTACAAAGGATTAGGACTGTTCTCTGAAAAGAATTAAGATACCTGCTAGGTATGTATATGGCCTTTTGAACAAGGAAATAAGCCAAAATGACCTCTTGCATACATGCCTACTAATGATGAAGGTTTTTTACTCAAGTTCCTTACCTCAAGAAATTAGGCTGTTATCCTTACTGCTATTTTAATTTAAAACTATATACTTAGATGGCTAAAAATGCTGCTGCTTCAAAGCAAGGAAGAGATGCATGAGTTTCCAGGTTTCTTCTTCAAAATCTTTCCTGGTATTCCTCATTTACCCATAAAACTTCGCCCTTCCAGCAAGTTTGGTTTTGGTCAAGTGAGCAGATTTACGTGACAGTCAACCCTGGTGTGCTCCTAATGAATCTGCATGTCGTGGAAGGCTCAGAAGATGGTGGGATAAGTGAAGCCACTCAGAAAGGGGGATACAGGATGTGAATTTGAGCCTCAGGGTTACAGTACCAGCATAAATATAGCTACCAAGCAGCATAACAGATTCCTTTCACACAGTGACTGAAGCTCTGACAGGCACAAAGTCAGTGTTTTTCTTCATTTCCATTTATATATATCTTGGGATATTTTTAAGGGACTATGCTCCTGTGATTTATTGAGCTTTCTTTGGAAGCTCAGTTGCATAAACCTGAGCAGGACTTCATGCAGATGTGCAGTGGACAATAGAAACGCCATAGAATTGACTTTGAAGACAGAGGCCCCTGGAGTGAGGGACAGAGACTTAAATGAATGTAGGACATTCTGCTCTCACAAACAGTGAAGCCTGCATTCTAAGCGTTATGGATATAAAAATAGTTGCCCAAGGAAAGTTGTTTTTCTGAGGAACTCTGCTCTTATGAGGGCCTTTAAAGCTGTCTCTGCTATTGTACTAATGCCAGTGACAGGGCTCTGAAATCCAGAAGCTGCATGAATTACCCTGTGGGGATCGTGCTGCTACCTTAGGAATCTATTTTTATCAGTCACTGATCTTTATATTTGCAAACATAAATGATCTTGGTTTAAAGATACAGTAATGATTTGACTTGTTCTGGTCATTTGCTCAAAACCATGACTTTTCTTAAAGTAAAGGTACTTTACTTAACCCAAGCAACTTCAGATACACACAGAATGGGATTTTACACATGTTGGACAGAAATAAGAGAATCAAGCCACGACCAGAAAGATTCCAGAACTGCAAAGATGTTTTTGATTTGATCCTAACGTGTGAAGAAAGAGTCTATGATCAAGTAGTAGAAGGTAAGGACCTTGAACTGATAAACCAAGTTAACTTTGAGTGCTTCCCCCCCCGGAGTACTTCACAAATCTGGAAATATCTCTCTCTTCTGACTACTGCTGCTGAACACCAGCAGGGACATGAGCTCGCCGTTCACTGACGTAGACTTTATGTACCAGAGAAGTGGTGGCTGAATACTTATTTCTCAAAGATGCTGGTGTTGGCAGCTACACAGAATTTGTATATATGGCAGTTTTAAGGGATGGCATAAGGAAATAACAAGCATTTGGAGAAACTCAGATACAGTTTTGTTTGGAAAATGCTCATGGACTAACAGGTTGTATGTGATGAGCATTTTTCCACCCTGGGTTGATGGAGACATGAAGTCTAAGCTGTGTTCCTTATGCAATGTCCTTTCCCTTCTCTGCAGACTTGTGATCTACCAAGCAGTTTATCCATGACAAAATCCTCCTGTACAGGTGGAAAAACTGTTCTTGAGTGTGCTTTACGCTCTGCAAACATGCAGCAGCTTTTCCCTTATGAGAGTCAAAGCGAGATACACCAGAAGAATCTCAGGGTTTGGGTTCTGCATGAAGATAATGCAGCAACCTTGATATGAACTCACTGAAAGTCATGGGGCTTCAGCAGTGATTCAGCTCCTGGGCTTAGAAGCCTGTCTCTCTCTGGGAGTACAGGCTTATGTGAGGTTTAAGGTGTTTCCTTTGTGTTAGACTTTGAAAGTCTAACCAGCTGCACTAATATCATACACGTGCTTTAAAAGGCTGTTACCTTGCCTTTTCTGTCCTTAGTGGTCACGTCACAAGCAATAGAGTGCAGGATCCCCTTGGGCTTCTGCAAGCTCAGCAATTAGTGTTCTGAATGTTTAAGTGTTTGTTAAGTGGAGTGTTTGAAATGTATTAGTAAGTTCTGAGAGCAGCTGCCCTGGTACTTGAATGGATCTTCAGCAAGGTGAGCATGTCTCACATAGAAAGCAGCTTTCACTCTAGTGTTTTAGGTGAATATCCTGAGGAAGGGAGGTGAAGAACAACCACTTGCTAATGTTCCTTCCAGTGGTGCATCTCTCAACTTCATGGTAATGCCCAGTGAACCAATGAAAGGAAGAACCTTAAGTGGTTCTTCAGCTGAAGAAGGAAGATTTACACAATGTCTATGTACTTTTAAAAGAATACTCTGTAAAATATGGTACCATTCCACTCAAAATTTTGCTGTTACATATATTTTATTTCCAAATAGATTTAAATTCCAGAGAGCAGGAGACATGTCAGCCCGTACATGTGATCAATGTGGACATTCAGGATAACCATGAGGAGGCAACGCTGGGTGCATTCCTTATCTGTGAGCTCTGCCAGTGTGTAAGTAGAGAGGGCTCATTGCCTATGGGTTCCTTGGACCCAGATGACTGCACAGAGGTTGGGGTTTGCTTAGTAATCTTTGAAGATGCTGCATATTGCAAAAGTTAAGTAAAATCCTTGTCAAAAGGTGTAAGTTCCCAAATTCTTTAGGTTTTTTTTTGGAGCTGTTGTGCAAACAGAAACTGTAACAAAGTTCATGGCTTCCAAAGTGGATCCTGTGCATGTGTGCATTCAAACCAAAGCACTGATGAAAAGCAGTAGTAACCATTGCACAGGTTGAGCCTGTACTCAAAACACTGTTTATGGGAAAAGCAGTTGTGATACATAGGGTTTAAGCATCAGAGTTGCATTCTGAATCATGATACACTTGGAAAAACATCCTATGTAGGTGTATTTTGTAGTACCACTCTGTTGCATGTATGATGTGGAAGAGGAAAATGGTGCCTTCTGTTATCCACATTCAGGGACCTAGTCCTTTAAGACTGAAATAAGCTGCACTCAAAGCAGTTGATAAAACTGTCAGGAGACCAGAAGAAGGATCTGAGTCCTTTTACAGCATGCAAGTTGCTGAGTTCACCTGTTCCAGTGTGGCAACGGGCTTTGGTTTTTTTTTTACTCTAGCCTGTTTGATCTATTCTGGTGTTAAATCCCTTCCAGATTCAAAAAGCCTAAAAGGGTTCAAGGACTTGCAATTTTAACCATCTGTTCAGTGTGCTTGTAGCTATTCTGAAGCTTCCATTTGTTACCTAGCGAGGATGAATGTTGCCTACTCAACAAAGTACTAGTTAAGTGCCAGTTCAGTGGGTTGGAGGAGGAAGGATATGCAGATAAACATGATGCAGAATATATGTATATTTGGGAATCTCACTAAAGCACCCAGTTTAGATTGCACAGTAAGCCACAAGCATTGAATTATTACAGTTTTCTAAGCTACATCATGTCCTTGGAATGTGGTTGCTTAGTATTTTTTTTTTCTTTTCTAGATACAGCACACAGAAGACATGGAAAATGAAATAGATGAGCTGTTACAGGAATTTGAAGAGAAAAGTGGAAGGACTTTTCTTCATACTGTCTGCTTTTATTAAAGCACATCTGTCTCTTAGGCCTTAATAGAGATGAGGAAAGCATGTGTTTCAAGTTCTGACTATACTGTATTTTCCTGGAAAATGACTATTGTTCTTTTTTTGGTTTAAAAGCTCCTTTTCAGTGTCTTTTTGTTTTGTTTCAGGTATTCTGTCACAGGGAGGCAGAGATACTGGTTGGCATTGTACATATGAGATGATTAAAAGTATACGCAAAGGCCACCTATTTAAAAATGCAAATCAAGTTTTTCTTTAAATCCTACTTTAGTTGTTACAAAGTAGGGTTTTAATTATAAAGAGAATGTTTCATGAATATTAAGTTTATAATGGATTTTTCCAGCCTACAAATTTATTTTATTTCAGTTGTGCTTTTTCTGTTTTTTATTTGAATGTGACAGAATGGCTGAATTACGTGAGGATCTGAATGGAACGATATAAAAATGAGTATCTGTATATTATTAAAGTTGGAAGCATCCAATAAAAGTGAAAACCCTGGAAGTTTGTCTGTTTTCAAAGCAGCAGCGAAGTGTGACTGTTGTCCGGGAAGTAAAACACAGTAGCTGAAGTAGCAGAAGAATGCTTGTTCAGTGTCTTGGTAGTGACAAGAAGATCTTGATGGGATTCAGAAGACCCAAACTTCATTCTGTGTTCAGAGAGGCTGGGTGTTTGGACAGCTTCTAATGATTTCTGATCCTATATTGAACCAAAGTGAGCTGTTTTCTCCATATGAATTTTAGGGCACTACAAGGAAATCTTTTGGGATCTTAATTGCTTTTGTATTATTGTGTGGAAAGTTAAGAAGACTGAGGCTGGAACTGTAGCAGTCATGGCCAATTGCGTAAATGCCTTCTATAGGGAAGGTGGGGAGAAATGGCAAACTCCACTGTCAATAGAAGTAGTTTAAAGGGGTTTTTACTGCTTTATCTTTTGAATAGAACGCTTTTCCTCCCATACAGCAACAGTAAATGTGCTTGTCACAGCTCCAGCTCCAGAAACCGAGTATATGTATACAGAGCAAGAGGTCAGAGTTGTATTTAACGGATGGGAGTTAAAAGTGTAAACAAACCAAATCATTAGACATTCAAAATGTGGATGTTAAAATGTTACTGCTTACCGGCAAGAGCGGATTTTACAAGTCTTGTTACAGGAACGTGTAAACACCATGGAGCAGATGAGGTCTGCGTTCTCTTCAATACTTGGATATGCGAGGGGACCTTCTTCAACACCGTGTTAAAAGTGAAGTAGCATGAACTTGGGTTTGAGCTCCTGGCTTCTCTCTCCCGTTCTATCACGGGCCTCTGACAGATCATATGAATCACTTAATTTACCTTAATTGTTGTGCACATGTAGGATGGTAATGTGAAGTATTTTGCCTTGATTTAGGGCAATGTTACCCATCTATGTGGCCAACTTCTGCTGTGTATGCAGTTAGTTATATGGCAATGCTGCTTAACCTCTCTCATTCAAATCTATTAAAAGGCATCTGCTTCACATCTGAAAACTGCAGGTCTGTATCTGAAAATACTTCTTTGCAGTTGCAAATCCTGAAGTCTGTTGAGTCAGGCCCCCAGAGAAACCTTGTATGTCTCTCTGCCCCTGAGATCTGGGGGTTGGCTACGGTTTCAGTTGCCTTGTGGGAAACCTTAGACCTCTGCCAGCTCAGTCTGTGCCCTGGACAATGTCCAAATGGGTTGTTGCATCGTACTTGGGTCCGAGGAATTTTTAATATCCCTGAATTACCTGTGCTGGTTTTCTTGTCTGTTAAAAATACTTAAAGCAGAAAATTTGTGTAGTATGAATGACTGGATTAGAGCAGTTAGGGGATGGGGAGCTCAAGCAGCAGCTGTGATAAGGTTTGCAGAGTTCATGTTTTCTGGGTGCCTTGTCCCTGTCCCATTTTGGTTCTGGAGACTCCGTATTTGAAGGATTTCATTCAGCCTCCTCTGCTCCTTCTTATTTGTCTGATAGCATTGCTTGTTTCCATGGGGATATTTACAGCCAAAGGAAGAAAATGATTCTCTAAGGACTGACTGCATTAGTGGATCTCTTGAAAAAGACATTTCAAGCAAGAATGATACAGAGTATTTTGAGCAGTTTTCTTTCCCTGTACAGTGTCAGTACTGAAGTCTACTCTGTGGCAAGGTGGGAGTTGGGGAGTGTTTGAAAATGTTTTCTGCTTTCAACTTCATCCATCCTGAACAGAACTCTTCATTGTTATTTTACAGAAATGCAGCAAAAAGCCAAACAGGATGTTTTAACCTGTGTATGTGGAGATTTACAGCAGTGTCCTTTCTATACTTAAACTATACTTTTCATATGTGTAATTGGCAGAGGATTGTGCTTGCTGTAGTGCCAAGTAGGGATTCATTAGCAGAACTTAAGTTCACTGCATCTCCTCAACTGAAATGAGAAGTCTTGATCTAAAAACATGATATAACATACAGGATCTTACAGGATTGTTCTTTCCATCCTAAATACTCTGTTCACAAGCAAAACCAATGCTTGGAGCTGGTGATTTGTCATTTTGTTTATTTACCAGTATGTGGAAGGATGTTTGGATAGATGGATGAATGGATGGACAAGCAAGTATTCTGGGTGATCTACAGTCCAAAGCATTTCGAATTGCTGTGAGCAAGACTACTTCACCTAAAGCTGTTGCTACTCTGACACATTACTTCTCATTTAACTTGCAGGTTAGTGAAAAATATATGCATTTATATAGTGGCTTTGTCTCTATATGCTTTGTTTGTATTGAAATCCACAATGAAGCTCAGTTTATAAGGAATTCTATGGGGTCCTAGTCTTGTTTGGGAGAAACATATTTATACACACACAAATACATATGTGGGTATAAAATAATTTTCTGTGTCAAAAAGATATTCCAAGAGAAACTTTGGTTTAGAGGAAAAGGGGGAAAAGAATGTACTTTTTCTTTAAGATTGGGGTGGCATATATGTGATGATGGTTGTTTATCCCTTCCTTGTAGATACACTGACACTCCTTTTGATGAGTATTAGTACTGAAAGATGGTCCGTTTCTTTTGAAGTCCCTTCTTTCTGTCTAATGAAGGAAGGAAAGCAATGAAGGGTTTAACACCTTGTGAATAGGGTGCGAGTGCTCAGAACTTGGCTGTGATGGGAGATTGCTGCTGTAAATGAGTTTTCAGCTGTCAAGGCTGCTCTCCCATTTCCCATAAAGGTGGCTTTAAAATGTCAGCATTTCACTCATTTTTTGACTTGCTATGAAAGGCCACACTGATTAACAAACAAAGTGGGTTTGTAAGGTTTTGCTCGCTTGCTGCCACTTCCTGAGCAGGCAGATCTTTGCCAAGAGCTTCTTGAGGTTTCCATCTCACATTCCAGCCCTCTGCTGATCCTATCCATTCAGCATGGAGCAGTGGAGCCCCGTTCACTTCTCGTTTGCAGCCTGTTTTTCTTTCACACAAATCACTCTTGACTTTGCGTCAGATTTCTGCGTTTCTCATCTTGCTTAAGACCTTCATAACACTCATGAACATTCTTTTGTCAGAGACATCAGAACGTCTTTAGGTTTATGTGGATAAAAACCCCTGGTGATTTAAGAGCACTGCTGGTGTCTTATCCCTGAAGTTCTCTGCTTATTGGCTTCCTTCACTTGCTGATAACACTCGGTGCACAAAGTGGTGCAGATAATGCAATCAGGCTGCATATGGTGGCGAAGAGCATTCCTCCTAGGTTTTCATATTGCTGGATCTGACTGTGCAAAGATCAATGATCCCAGTTAGATTTCCCCAATGCAGCAGCCTAATTAATTTGTTGCTAGGCAGATTACCCAGCTTCAACTACTACTCATACATGTAGGAGCTTAGGAGAAGGTATCAGTTAAGGACACACATAAATGTTTGTACCAGGAGCTATGAAAAGAACAGGGGAATAAGCAAGTGGAGTATAGGGAGGGTATTGGACAGCTGCATGGGTTCCTGTGGAAGAAATGCTCCAGTTCTTGTGCAGACTCTAAATTCTGACCCCTGTGAGCACCCCAGAACTCCAGCTGAGGGCTATGCTCCCTTCAAGATGGAAATAGAGGGAATCAGTTCCTGTGACTTTGGCTTGTGATAGTATTCCTACCTGGGCTGCATGCTGACAGTGCAAAACCAAACCTGAGATGCTTCCCATAGGTGTCTCTGAACTCTTTTATCATCGTTGTGCTGGGGCTTAAAAGATATTTTATAAGAAGGGAAGGGTATGTTTACTGTCTGCCCTCAAATGCTAGAGGCTGGGTGACAGCACCAGGTCATTCTTGGGCTAAAACAAAGGGAAAAGGCAGGTGGACTACGGACTTGTCTGCATGAGGATGGTGGTGACAGGACAACATGGGACTCGAAGCTGAGCAGGAGCCAGAGGTCGTGTGGATGTGGGTGCTTGTTTTCCAAAAGGAGCAGGTTACTTCTAGTGATATTAAAGCGATCAGGAGCATGTTTAACAAACATATTGTGGTAGGAACCCAAAACTGTCTAAGCGTTTGCTACACAGATATATCTGTGTAGCACAGCGTTACCTACAGTAAAAAAACAGCCTTTGCTCATGCAAGTGTCATGTCACTTTGCTTGAGTACAGTCAGTCCCTGCTGCCTCTTTGCATTAGGTGGAAGTTCCTAGAGAAACTTCTCTCAGTTCCCTGAGACACTCAGATGTGCTGAACACCATGCACAGCCTCAGGTTGTTCTTGGGTGTCTAATTAGGCTGTGAGCAGCCCAGAGTTCACTGTGTGCTAGCCCTGAAGGGATTTCAGCGTTGCTGCGGGTTTGTTTCTGCTGAACAAGGCAGCCTTCAAGTACCTAAAGGGGCAGACAGGAAATCTGGAGAGGGATCTTCACCAGGGACTGTAGTGATAGGACAGGGGGCAATGGGTTCAAACTGAAACAGCAGAGATTTAACTTAAATACAAGGAAGAAATTCTTTACTATGAGGGGTTGAGACAGTGGCACTGGTTGCCCAGAGAAGCTGTGGCTGCCCCATCCCTGGCAGTGCTCAAGGCCAGGTTGGACACAGGGGCTTGGAGCAAGCTGCTCCAGTGGAAGGGGTCCCTGCGCGTGGCAGGGGGCTGGAACTGGATGAGCTTTAAGGCTCCTTCAACCCAAACCACACTGATTTCATGATCCTATAACAAAACCTTTCCTTGGTGCCCCCAAGGCCAGCTGAGAGCTGACCCAGCCTAGTTTGTGGCAATGGCTGGAAGGGCAGACACATCAGCTGATGGGCAAAATTCCTTGACGCTTCCCTTCAGATTGTCCGTGCTCTCCTGTGACTTCATTTGGCTGTTACTTTAAAAATGCCTGTGTTTTCTACCACTGGCAGAGTAACCAGCTGCATTATCTCTGCATTACTGAGGTCTGCATTCAGCCAGCAGGAACCATCCCCCAGCTCAGTGAGAAGTGACAGCAGCTCAGGGAAGAGGGAACCCTCAGGGGTTGGACAGGAGCGTGGTGATGGGCACCTTCCCATCCCTGCTGCTCTTTGG